ATAAGAATGGTTACTATCGCACTTCTCTCGGTAAGGGTCCAACCGCCGTACTACGTTAGGTTCCGCTCTCGCTGAACAGCTTAACCAATGAAAATCTTCTATCTCAAAGGGTCACATGACTTCCTGCTAGAGTCGTGTGCAAGAATCTCAGTGTCGTGTGTAACAATGTAAAATACAGAATAAGAAGTCACGTGTACAAAGTGTAGAGCCGGGTGCGTGAAAGTTCTTATCCGGTCATCTGTGGCGAATGATTGACAGTTATAAAGTCTGAGGTTTCTGAACATTAGCATTTCAGGGAACCTTACCACGCCCAACCACGTAGCCACATGGAGGGGAATTTCGACATGCTAAAACCGAGCAGAGAAAACACAAGGATAAAGGAGTGACGGACCAAGCGATCACGCCAGAGTACAGCATGAATAACTTAATACAAAATTAGCGTCTCTGCTACATGTCCATAACGCATAGCTGAGCTAAATAAGAGACCATGAGAAATGCAAGGACCGAGAACGAGTAAACTAGGGGTCGCTGGAATTCCACGATTTGCGGGTGCGCAACACTATTCCCCCTCGAGTTTTTACAACGTCCTCGTTGGGATTTTCAAAATTCATGGTGACAGACAACTAACATGGAAAGCTTGCGGTAAACATCATGCAATATCTCTTTTTTGAGTCTGTGTGGTTCTGATAAGAACCGGAGAGGCTCAACGTTTCGGACAGTGTGCTCTGTCCGTCGTCAGGAGACTGAATGATACCACATCAGGATCAGGATCAGGATTCACCGTTCCACCTGACTACACAGCAGGATCCGTCACACTCCAGTACCTCCAACCAGCATATAAGCCCCACTCCCTGTCGGCAACTCTTCAGTCTCCTGACGACGGACAGAGCACACTGTCCGAAACGTTGAGCCTCTCCTGTTCTTATCAGAACCACACAGACTCAAAAAAGAGATATTGCATGATGTTTACCGCAAGCTTTCCATCCTAACGTCCTCGTTGTAAACGAAGGAAATAGAGTTCTTGTTCAAAA